AGTAAAAAGGTGTGTCAAAGTAAGAAGGAAACTCCAGTAATTCAATCACCAAACCAATTTAGTATCCTTATGGATGAAGGAGGGCAACTCATTGTGGAACTTACTCCCGAACTTGTTAAGGAGAAAAATATTAAAGGGAAAGAGATGATACTTGAGATTGGAAAAAGAAAAAAGCCAAGCAAAAAGCCTCTGAGGTTGGTAGATCACCTCAAACCAGAAAAAAAAAAAAAAAAAAAACCCCAATCTCAATGAATTTTGCATGTTGGAATATCAAAAGGTTGAATCCTCAAAGAAAGAGGAAATCAAAAAGCTGATTTTAGAACAACACTTGGACTTACTAGGAATTGTTGAGACACAGGTAAAGAAGTGTTAACAAAACTATTACCATGAGAGTAGTTTTTAGGCAATGGGAGTACTTTTCCAATTGATTGCCTTACCCTAGGCAAAATCTGGGTTGGATGGAATCCAGAGGTGCTTGAGATTACTAAAATTGCTGAGACTGACCAAGTGATTCACTGCTTTGTTCATCATATTGAAAACAAAGAGAGGTTTTATGTTTCCTTTGTCTATGGCTTAAATGTGGAGCAAGAAATGAGGCATCTCTAGACTTACTAGGAAATGCTGAGACACGGGTAAAGAAGTGTTAATAAAACTATTACCATGAGAGCAGTTTTTAGGCAATGGGAGTACTTTTCCAATTGACTGCCTTACCCTAGGCAGAATCTGGGTTGGATGGAATCCAGAGGTGCTTGAGATTACTAAAATTGTTGAGACTAACCACGTGATTCACTGCTTTGTTCATCATATTGAAAACAAAGAGAGGTTTTATGTTTCCTTTGTCTATGGCTTAAATGTGGAGCAAGAAATGAGGCATCTCTGGAGAAATCAAGTTTACCACTCTGGCTTGCTCAGCAATGAACCTTTGGTTCTTCTAGGGGATTTTAATGCAATGAGATCAACACTTGAATCTTCATGTGGGTTCAGCAAGTGGAGCTAGTATATTGAGGACTTTGATAATTGCCTACAGGATTCTGAGCTGGTGGATCTCAAATACACAAGATGCTACATTACTTAGAATGACAGAAGGAATACCCCAGAGAGAGTCTTCAGAAAACTTGATAGGGTTCTTGTCAATCAGTCATGGAACCTTAAATTCTGCCATTCTAAGACAGAATTTCTTCCTTCATTAACTTATAATCATAGTCCAGCTCTAGTTAAGCTGGGACCTATTGCTAAGAGGAGGAAAAGTCCCTTCAAGTTTTTTAACTACCTAGATGAAAGAAGAGATTCCTTACAAATTGTTGCACAAGTCTGGGGGGAAGCCATTGGAGAATCTTTTCAATTCCAAATCTGTTACAAGCCGAAAAAACTCAAGTCTTTTTTCAAGACCATCAGCAAGGAAATTGAGGATATGATTGTTAAAGCTCAAGAAGCCAAGGATTGACTTGCCCATTGCTAGAGGAGACTGGACCAAAACCCCACTAATCTCACACTTAGAGAGACTTCTTTTGGCAAGCTACCTGAATGTAGCAAAAATTAAAGAGACTTTCTATAAACAAAAGTCCAGAGTTCTCTGTCTTAAGGAAGGGGATAGGAATTCTACTTTATTTTTCAAGACAATGACTTCTAGAAGAAACAAAAGAAAAATCATGACTTTGAGAAGAGCTGATTGTACCCTCAATATGTGGGGAAGACAAAGCTAAAGTTGAAGAAGTCCAGTTCTATTATCATCTCCTAGGGGGAAGCTCTGTCATCAATATCCAACATATTAGAAGGCCTTTACTTGCAAATCTTATTCAACACAAGATCTCTAATGAGTAAGCAAATGATATGAAGAGGGGTGCTTCTGCTGAGGAAATTAAAGATGTTTTCTTCTCTCTTAACAGCCATAAGGCACCTGAACTTAATGGGTTCACATCTATAAGAAAGCATGGCCTATCATTGGAAATGAAGTTATTGCAACTATACAAGAATTCTTCAAAACTGGGGAACTTCTAGAGGAGTTGAATGCCACTATTATTACTCTAGTGCCAAATATACCTAATCCAACTACTATGGGAAAGTTCAGACCTATCTCCTGTTGCAATACATTCTATAAAGTAATTTTCAAACTGATTATTAATAAATTAAATCATCCCTCCACTCCATCATTAGCCCAAACCAATCTACCTTCATCCTAGGGAAAAAGATTGGAAACAACATTATGTTGGCTCAGGAAATTCTAAGGGACTACCACAGAAGCAAGGGATCACCAAGATATGTAGCCAAGGTGGACATTCTGAAAGCCTTTGAAACTTTGGATTGGGGATTTATCCTTCGCACACTTGAGGCTTTCAATTTTCCAAACATTATGAGGATCTAGATCCAAGAGTGCTTGACCTCTCCAAAATTTTCTGTTAATGTTAATGGAGAACTAGAGGGTTAAGGCAGGGGACCTAGCTTCAATCTCAATTCTGAAAGAAGCTTTGGAGGGGTTCCAATATTTATTAGGTTTGCGAGCTAACCCAAGCAAGAGCAACATTTTCCTCTCAGCCATTCAAAAGGATGGCAGGAGATCCATTATTGACAAGCTTGGATTTTCTGAAGGATCACTCCCTATTACATATCGTGGCATCCCCCTGATCTCTTCCAGGCTCAGAACATCTCACTGTGTTGTTCCTATTGAGAAGACAGAAACTAGAGTCAAGAAATGGACTAACAAATTCCTTTCCTATGCAGGCAAGTTGTAGCTTATAAGCTCAATACTTAGCAGCATACAAATTTATTGGTCTTCCCATCTCAATCTACCCCAGTAAGTGTTGGACAAATTGGAGCAAACTATGAGGGCATTTCTCTAAAGGGAACAAATTTAAAAATCTATGGTGCTAAAGTGGCATGGAAAGAAATCACTAAGCCCAAGAGGGAGGGAGGACTGGGCATTAGAAAGCTAAAGAATCTGAACATCTCACTTTTGCCCAAGCACTTATGGCTGCTTATTACTGACAAGAAGAATATATGGTCAGTATGGATGCACCCATACCACATAAAAGGTAGAAGTTTATGCTAGATCAATGCCTCTCATACCAATTCATGGAATTGGCAACAACTTCTCAAATTAAGGGAAACCATCAGACCTCTGGTCAAACATGAAATAAGGAGAGGAGACCAAACTGATCTCTGGTATGATAACTGGCACTCATATGGCCCTCATATGTCCCTGTCCCCACCTCTAACTTGTTGGAAATTCCAAACACAATGCCTCCCTATCTGCCTAACCAACTCATAGAGGATGTTGTCAAATGGATTCCCAATACTAATGGAAAATTCACAACCAAATCAGCATGTGATGCCATTAGGGAGGTTTCACCAAAGGTCCCATGGTCAAATTTAGTGTGGTATAGCCAAGCAATGCCCCGAATGAATTTTATTCTCTGGCTGACAATCAAAGGGAGACTCAATACAAAATACAAACTCCAAACATACACTAATTACTTTGGAACTGACTGTATTCTTTGCAGGGAAACATAGAAAACACACCCCCACCTTTTCTTTGAATACAGGTACTCGTCAAGCTCTTGGAACCATCTCAAAGTGATGGGGCATTCACAATGGTAGTCAGTTTCTTGGAGGGACTTCATTTCTTGGGCATCTCTCAAATGGAAAGGGAAGTCACTGGTTGTGGTAATCCAAAAACTTTGCCTTTCAATTGCTATCTACCATATTTGGAAGGAAAGAAACTCCATAATCTTAAAAAACTAATACAAGGACTTTAGGTCAGTTCTTCACCTGATGCTTCAAACAATCAAGGAAAGAATGGCATCCCTAAGGTTCAAAAATTCAAGTCAAAACGAGATGATCATCGAATAATGGCAATTACCTAACAGTTGCTTAGAATAGAAGCTTTAGAGAGCAAATCTTACATTTCGCAATAGTCTTTGTTCTGTTTCTTTTGATCATTCTCTAACTGACCAGGATTGCGGGGAAGAACCGGCTCAAGGCCTATACTTCTCTCACAATTCAGATTAATTAGAGTTATGTTTTCATAGTTTATATCCTCTTTTGTATGGAGGGCTTATTGCTTTGTAAAAGCACTTCTTTTCGTTCTTGTATATTCATTTTTTTGCAATGGAATTCATTTAACTTCCCAAAAAAAAAAAAAAAAGCAAACTTTTATTCAAATTTTTAGGAAAAGTCCAAATAAGAATTTGAGTAATGGTTAGAGATGGTTTGAGTATTAGTTCATATTATTTCCAACTACAAAACAGTAATAACACTTTTTTTTTGGGGGGGGGGGACTTGAACCCTTGACCTCAAAAAGGCAAAGTCTTTATAAGACAAAGAGTACTATTGGACCAAAGACCCATTAGTGTTGAAAATAGTAATAAGTGAAGATCATATCCAAGCAAAAAAAATCTATATATATAAAACAATCAAATTAGGGAGGATAATATTTCTCTCCCTAAATGGTAAATTAATAGAATTTTGAAATATTTAATTAATTCATTCCAATCAAATTATTTTATGTGTCATTTGTAAATCACTCCAACTACTTTTCAACCTACTTTAAATTTAAATTTTAAATCATCTTTCTTAACTATTTTAAATTTTATATATATATATATCATTCTAACACATTAATAGATAATTATCCACCAAGCAAAAAAATAGGTAATTATCGAGTAATATTAGAGTTAGAAAGGATTTGGCGGTAAGGTAATGATAGGACCAGATCACAAATTTCGTGCATGGGTTCATACTAATATTACCTAATTAAGAAGAATATCTCTTCTCAAGCAACGAAAGGGTCAATGGATAACATGGTGCCGCTTGGCAGGTTAAGAAGCAAGAGACAATATGTACCTCGAAAGGCCCAAACCTCTAAACAGAAGGCATATCACCCATTGAAACGGCACCCCAAAAATAGGAACAACATCCTCTATATATGTATGCTAAATCAACCAAAAAAATGACAACGTTGATCAACAATTCTCATTCTATTCAAAAATTGCAAATCATCCAACATGAGTGTGGCCTTCATTGATGGTCCGACGGTGACCGGATTCGTGAATGATTCTGAGTCGTTCGACAAATGGGTCGATGAAAGATTTAAAATGCTTGATGCTGATGGCAATGGAGTCCTTTCCCGCGACGAGCTGCAGGAGAGATTTGGCAAGCTTTCATCGAAGGAGTATGAGCTGCAATCCAAGGAAGAGATCAGAGGCCTCTACGACATTCTCTTTGAAAAATTCGATGCTGATCAAAGTGGCACCATTGATCGTGATGAGTTTAGGTTACTAATGAAGGAAATCATGCTGGCTAAGGCCCGAGGAATCGGGAATTCCCCAGTGATGATCATTCTTCAAGGGGATAGCTTGCTTATGAGGGCCGTGGAACGTGAGTCAGCTAAAGGTTGATAGAGAAGAAAGTTAAAAATTTTGACATTTTGTATTTTTTAGGAGTCCAATATGCGTGACACCATTGGAGACCACCCAAGCCATGCCCGTGGTGGTATATCAAATGCAATGTACATAGCAGTGTATTCATTATGTTGGAGAGTGCGAGAGATGTCTTGAAGTTACCTTTGGTTTCCTTTTTTGTCTTTTCTTCTTTTGTTGCAAATATTATGACACGGTTCATGTTGTTAACTTTGAGATCTTAAGTTAGAATCTCGTAAGAGACATTCTAGTTGACGTAATGTGTATGGCTTGCAGGTATTTGCGTGTAAACCGAGTAAATCTTTTCCGATGTGGATATATATATATACATGTATAACAGTGTATTCATTTCTTTTTTTGACCAAAAACTGTCATACAGTCATATGAAATTATGACCCAGTATTCTGTAATTTTGATTGCCTGAAAATTCAAGGAGCAATGAGAGCGTAATTTCGTTGAGAGAGAATCAAAAGATAAGTTAGACTGCCACAGAAACATGCATAATTAGATTTCTACTATATGTAGACCATATTTAGTAGATTTGCTCAAAATATATTCACTCACTTTTATCATCCAAATACATTAAGATTATAATCAAAGTTATTAATTCTATATCAATTTCTTATGGGGTTACCACATTGTACTAGGGGCCTAAAATTTTTTAAGGGATCTTAAAAAATAAAAAATTAGGTACCCTAAATTTTTAAGTCGCCTATGTCTAGAGCCGGCCCTGATTGAAAATCTTCATGGTTTGCTTGTGAGTTACAAATTTCTAGTCCTTACTCAAACACTATTCCAGCTTAAATAAAAGTGAAAAAGGCCAAAGAAAAAAAAAAAAGGGAAGCCCATCATGCAATCAAAACCAAATAATAAATAAACCACCAGCACAACGGGCGAAGAATCCCTTACTTGTTCTGCTAATGGCGAATGCCATCCTCGTAAAATTTCAACCTTTTATTCAAATTTAAATTGGAAAGAATCAAATATCTCAAATCAACTGAGTATCAAAATATACCCAAAACTCCAAATGGTTTATATTCAGCCTGTCACAACTATGAAATGGAAAGAGAACCAAAACCGGGATCAGATCAAAAATGCATCAAATTATTACTGAAAACCCCAATAGTTTTAGTCATAAACTGAATTTCTTTCCCTCCCTAAATTTCTACCATTTTAACTCTTTTACTAATTCCTGTTCTAAAAAAAAACTATTTTCCTAATTAAATTTTAGTCAATATTTCATATCCCATACCATTCGTATTCATTTCCAACAGTTTGAATACCAATGAAGTTTTTGAAGTATTCTTTGTTCACTTCTTTTCATCTTTCTCTTCCTCCTCTTTTGATGTTTAGGAAAATATCATTTGTAACACCTTATGACCCAAATAATGGCAAAAATAATCCATAGAGGAGAGGTAGAACAACTAAATAAACACTGTCGCTCAAAAATAGTTTGGAGGGAAAAAAGTAAAAGAAAGAGAAGAGTGAAAAAATATGGAGAAAAACATAAAAGAATTGAGCTTTTAGATGGCAAAATTTTTCAAAAAGATGTGGTTATAAATTTGATCTTGTCCACCAAAGTACTTCGTACCAAATTAAATTTTCTGACTGTGTTTCAGACAGGCCCGAAGATGGACATGAAGGTTGCATGGATAAATGGCTAGCAATGGATCAAATGTCATCTTGAGTTTTTTGTTGTGTCTAAATTGTGTAATGTCAAAAATTTTCAACTCAGACGGATCCATCAGACTTGTGTTGTGCTAAATTTGTGTCATATACAGTTAAGTTTGTGTCGACTTACTAACAAATAAGTCTTGAAGTGGCTGCCTAATCCCCTGGCATGAAATTTTTTGGGCCCCAATTTCAACTCTGGTGAGAGTCAAATGGTGTCGTATTGTATAATATTGGGATTATACTATTTTTGGTACATATCGTATTCGAGTCATGATATTTTCAATCTTATCATGTTCGTGCCGTACTTGGGTTGATAAATATGAACATGAACCTAAACTTTCAAGATTAGAACCTTCTTCAGTCTCAACCAAATCAAGTACACATAGAATCACTGGATCCACATCCTAACAAACTAACATTATACTAGATAAAGAGGTGGAAAAAAATAAATCGAATTATTCATATTTGTTACTAATCCGACCTGTTGATTACTTGAGTTGATAGGTCGCATCATTTTTAGACTCCTGTTATGCTATGTTCGAATCGTGTTATGATTGCCACTCTTGATTTAGTTTTTGTGTCCTACCCTTTTTTTTTTATACAATATAGAAAATACATTTTTGCTTCCAACACAGAATTCTCAATGACTAGATGATAGTCTATCGTCTAGCACCCAACTTTTTATTTTGTACGTTATATCAGTGTATTAAGATGTCAATTTGAGATTTTATTTCGATTCGATTCGATACGTCTATCTACGAGATTTATCTTTTGACTTTTGTCTTGATAGTTGTATTATTATACATTTTCTCAAAAAAACGTTCATTTTTTTATTTCTTTCCCATCGCCGACAACAACTGAAACGACGCAAAGAAATTCAAACCCAGAAAAGAGAAGGGCTGATGGTTGGCATTTGGAAAAGTCAGGCTGATCGATAGTCTTCATTCAAGCAAAGGTACATAAAAAGAACGAAACGGAGTGAGAGGGCAGGAGGCATGCTAGGCTCGATTTTGTCTGAGTTGGGTTTGTTGGCTCAAATGACTTTTACTTAATTTTATTTAATGGTAGATCAACTATTATTAATACACATGGGATTCACCCTAGATCACATAAAGCGGGAGGAGGTGAGAGTAAAAGCAAGAGCAGAAGCGCAAAAGCAAGAGCAGAAGTGCAAAAGTCACAAAATTCAAAAATATTTGAGAGTGAGAGTGCCCCGAGAGTGTCATATTCTATTCATCAAGACAAATATTTACTTATAAAAGTTAATAAAAATAAATTAGAAAAAAATTAAATTTCATAAACAATTGTATGTGAAACTATTTATATATTTATTATAGGTCCTAAAATAGCAATTATAGGTTATAATATCATTTTAGTTTGATATGTATCTTTATGTATGAAGCAATACTTCTTAAATAAAAATTTAAATAAATAATAAGTAAGCATATAAGTAAGTAATAACACAAATTCACAAATTGAAATTTTGATTTCGCGAATTTTGTAAAATGAGAACACGGATTCACGAAAAATTCGCTCTTAAAACGGGAATTTGCCTGAAAAGTGTAAGAGTGTCGACTATTTTGAAGGATTATGTGACTAAGGACTCACTATTTATTGGTATACTTCTTATTTATATACGATAGGTGATCTACTGTTGAGTAAAAAAATATAATAAAAAATATTTTAATCCCATCACATCGATGACGTGTTAAGTTGAAACATGGCATTAAGAATTGCCTGCCCCACATATGCATAATCAGTGATCACTAATACCCAATCTAATTCTAACATCAAATGTGAGGCTAAAATTTTCTACATCTATCCAGTCAAAGGCAATATCCCCAAGCCCTTCTGTCAATAGTCAAACAAATTCATGTAAAGCTCCTAGAAGCTTATACGATGGGCCTTTGGCCAGAATGTTGAGATTTGAAGGAAATGTACCTCATAAACCAAGAAATGCAGAAGAACCATTCTAAAGCAATCCATTTTGTTCTAGATAAAGTCAATCACACCATTTTTTCTGCCTTTATTAATTAGTTTTTGAGATTGTCAAATGAATTAAATACTCCTTCCTATACATGAATTCTATAACAAGCAACTAATCCATATAGAAAATTAACAATAATTGTGAATCCAATGATTATGAATGATTAGATCATCAAATTGAATTCAACCAACAATTTTCAAAAACTAAAGTTGTGTGAATTGAAAATTGTGTTTTAATCCAAATGAGGAAGAGTGTTTTTTCGGATAAGGGTAAAGAAAGCAAAAAAAAAAAAAAAAAAAACAAGCAATGTCATCCGCCAGTTTCTTTGGAGGAACCGCACTTCCGGTGACTTGATCAATCCAAATCTGAGTCCCCCCCCCCCCCCCCCCCCCCGCCCTATCTATGTATTTTGAAAAAGGGTGCAAAACTGTTTTTCTCTTTTCGAATATAAAAAATAGAGGAGAAGTTGTTTGGACAGAATAATTTTATATCTAGTTTTTCAAAAATTGGGAACAAAAAGTTATAATTTCATAATTATTTTCATCAATTTTGAAAAAAATAATTAAGAACACATGATGCAATCTACTGTGCACTTAAAGGTATTATTTAAAAGAAAATTTTGTATCTCTCTCATCAGTGTCTTTCTTTCACTCTACTTCCAAGCAAGCTCGACCAATTCCTTCAAATTTTGTATCTCTCTCATCAAAGTCTTTCACTCTATTTGCCCTTTGAATTATGTAATATGTTTTAATCGACCCACCCTATTAAGATTAGTCGATAAATAAAACAATTTTTGTTAACATGAACTGTCAAAATGAGGCAAAATTTGTTGAAACTAATCGTTAATGTGTCTTAGTGTTAACAGAATAATTCGATTGAAACAGATTACATAGTTTAAGGGGAAAATTAGGACAATTGAAACAAATATCATAGTTCAGGGGTATTTATGAAATTCACCCAATAAATGATTTTATTAGGTAATCCATGCTATTTCCATGTAAGTCAATAAAATACAAGATTAAATGGGGGACAATACTATTATCTACTTTAATCCAAAATTTAGTAAGACACTAGATTAAGAGTGGAAGAATAGCTATCCAATCCAAACTTGTGTTACATTTTTTTTATCTATTATATTTTTGGGAGTAATATTATCTTTGAAGCCTTAAGTTTACCATAGAAGGGTATTTTTGGTATTTTAATAAGTTTTTCCATAAGAGCAACTTTGACCGGTAGTCTTCTTAGCGTCTGTTTCGCTGAAGGGGTGTGATTGTTACAAATTTTAAAATATCAAGGGGTCTTAGTGTTATTTTTAATACGTGAGGGTGTCTGCATAATAAAACTAAGGGTAAATTACACTCACTACCCCTGACATTTTATTTTTATTACACAGACACCCCCTAATGTTTTAAAAATTACACTAATACCCCTTGACATTTGAAACTTATAACATTCATGCCCCCTCCAAATAACGAACGTTAGAATGGTTCACGGTCAAATATGATATAAAGAATAATAATTCTTGAAATACCAAAAATACCCTTCAAATATATATTCTTCGTACCTCAAAAATTTATTCCATCTCTCATTTATCATTTCCTTATTTTATATTTCATATATAAACTAAAATTTTCCCAATTAAATGATGTATTTCATTATCTATCTAATTAATAAGTTAAATATTATAATTTTTTGTTTATTAAACAATATATTAATGTAAATTCCATAAAACTAAATGTCAGGGGTATGAATGATATTTGCCCTAAAACTAAATGTCATGGGGAGTGAGTGAAATTTACCCAACGCAGAGCCTTCCTTTCTTGGTCATCTGTCTTAATCAGTGGTTTCCGATTCAAAAGTAAACAATACTTTAAAAAGTCTTTAAAAATTTTAAAAAGGTAACAAAATTACTTACAAAAAGTATATGTTTTTTAGCCAGCAGCACATTTAGCAAAACAATTAATTTATAAAAACAAACCTCATATTAAAATTATTGGCTTGGAGTTGTAAGATTCTTTCCAGTCCGTTGGTTTGGTTATTTCTTTTTGAATCTTGAATACAATAGCAAGCAAGACTAGACCAGTTTGAGGTTGATGGTGAACCTAACTCTAGTTGGTAAATTAGCAGGTAAATGAAACATAAATTATTCTTTCAGATTATATTATCATTATTAAAAAGACTGCGAAAGATTTGAATTATTAGAAAAGGACACACTTTTGCCTTTTTCAATTGGAATAGGATTATAGCTTAAATGAGACCACTAATCTAATAGTTTCCTTTATTTGGAATGCAAATTTAGGTTACAGATTTGAGTTACATAGCGTTGTTCTTTATTAATAGGTTTGCTTTTGCTCATGCAAAAAAAGGACTTTATTTGTTCTTCAATAATGTTAATTGAATCTAATTTACTGATATAATTTATCGCAACATTAAATTGATTAAGGATCCCAAGAAATACTTGGGTCCACTGTCCCATCTAATGGTTATTAATGATTAGGTAAATATGTTAATTTAATGAATTATATCCAAATAGCATTGCCTTTTTTTCTCGCCCACCATCCATGTTTGCTTGCCCTAAGTTGGAAAAAAGCGTATCCTGTATGAATTTAAGAGCAATGCAATTAGAACCTAATTTATTGATCTAATTTGTTGACTTAATTTAATATAGCACTTGGATTAATGTGAGTTTCATCAAATATTAAAATTTGATGTTAATCCAATAATTACAATAAAATCACATCATTAATTCAACATATTATATCAAATTTTTAAATGTCAATAACATTAATGTAAATTTAAATTGTTCCCTTTGATTTTTTTTCAAGTCGACTGCTAATTGAAGGTAGAGAAAAACCTCAAATTAAAAATAAATAAATTTATTCAAATCTATTGCCACAAGATTGATCGTTGGACAAAAGTGTCCTACAATACATCATGCATTAAGCTTGGAGAAAAAGAGTAAATTTAGACGGGCAAAAAGAAATTAAAAAGGAAAACAATCATTATTCAAAACAATTTTAAGAAATCAAAATCAAAATCCAAACCAGCAGACATTTTTGTTAGGATTTTTAATTCCATGAAGTAGTTGTCTCCTTGCGATGCCTTTGTCCATATGTACTATTTTATCAATCTTATACTTCAAACCCTCTTGGACGCTTAACTGAAGCAACCCCACAAAAGTGGTTGGGGTCTCTCCTTTTCCATCTCCATCTCCATCTCCATCTCCATCTCCATAGTTCATATCCTTCGGAGATGGCGTTACAGAAAGAAAAAAGATATAAAAGAGAAAAGGACAGACCTTTTTAAAAGTTATAATTTTTTTACTGTATCATTTTTTGTTTGGTCCGCAACGTAATCCTTTATATTAAAATACGCAAAGAAAATCCAACTCCCTTCAATTGTGACTTCACCAAAGTCTTGCGAGCTAGTGCACCCCAGCTCACGTATTTATAAAAATGAGAGAGAGAGAGAGAAATCATTTTCCCCCTCTGTCAGAGGCGCCAATCATGCAAGAACATGAATCCAACTCATACGACAAGCTTTTGGCTATCCTTGGTGATGATTGTGGTGATGGAAGCTTTACAAATTCCATTGTTGCGAGATTCATAGTACCTACCACCCCAACAGCTAAAAAGCAGCCCAAAACTCCAGTCCCCTACTCATTCATCAACCCAAAGCCATAAACAAACCCCTCCATACTCTCTCTCTCTCTCTCTCTTCTTGACTGAATGGTGGGGGAAATATAATACAAGCTAGCAAACAAGAGAGCTAGCCATGATCCCTGCATGTTTCAGTAACTCTAACACACTCTCAAACAGCTCAGAAATGCCACAGAACCTCATAACATGCATTTACCAAACTCAACTATGCAACTCACCAACCTATCTCACACTCACTTGGTCCAAGACTATCTTCTCTCACTCTCTAACCATCCATGCAGCAGATTGTTTCTCCATCAGCATCTCTCTCAACCCAGCAACCTTCTCATTCTTCAGGGCTCGACCAGGGTACAAATCCATATACCTGACTCACCGCCATTACCAGAAGATCAAGCTCTACTGGGACTTCACTCAGGCTGAGTTCCCTCAGAACTCAGCAGATCCCGAGTCATCCTTCTACATTGCTATTACATGCAATAACAGGTTAGAATTCTTTCTGGGTGATCTCCTAAACGAGTTGACTCGGCGGTCCGGGTTGGTCGGGGCACGTTACTCAGCTGAGGCAACCTTGTTATCTAGAAGAGAGCATGTGTTTGGGCGCAGGAATTATTTAACCAGGGCTATGTTTATGGGGTCCAAACATGAAATTGGAATAGAGTGTGGTGGTGGAGTGCTCAAAGTAAAAGTGGATGGGGAGATAAAACTTGTGGTGAAAAGACTTGCATGGAAGTTTAGAGGTAATGAGAGAATTATAGTTGGTGGTGTGGAAGTAGAATTTTATTGGGATGTGTTCAATTGGGTCAATAGTAACATTGGTACAAACAAATGTAATGGCCATGGTGTGTTTATGTTCCAAATAGGTGAAGGAGGGGTGTGGCCTGAGATGGTGGGACCAGAAAAGAGGCTAATGAGGAAGAGCCTGTCATTAGCGGCGACAGCGGCAGCGCCAATGCCGGCGATTTCATCGTCGCCATCTCTTTCATGCTCGAGTGTGTTGCAATGGGCGGAGGAGAGCAGTGATGGTGGTAGAAGCTCATGTTCATCGTCTACAAAGTCTGGTGGGAGTGGTGGTGGATTTTCTTTGTTGTTGTATGCTTGGAGGAAAGATTGAAATGTGGATTGAATTATTTATTTCTGTGCAATTTGATTTGTGGGTTTTAAAATGCTGGAAACAAGTCGTTTGGGGGATCAATCCTTCTAGAGTTGTACAAATTGCATCCATATATCTTGAGTAATGTTTTTAGAAATTAAATAATTGATATAATTTGTTGAGTGATATAGTTTTAACGAAGAAATTAAATCGTTATAATTACAGTAGGATTATGAGATTATGTAATTCTCACATTATTAGATTAAAAAATTAATTTAATTTTTTAAATCCAATAACATTATTCATATATTTTTGTGCATTGACTTCTATACATTGTTAGTCTTCTTAGTTATATAGGTGGCATGACTAGAGTTGTAATTAGAGTTGGTATTAAGTCGTATTGTAGTTAAATTATTTCGTGTTAATTGTTTAATTCATGCTCTACTCATTTATAATCGCATAATTAAGTTTGTATTATATTAAGTTCATGTCATGCATAAGTTCTGTTCTTTCTGCTAAATTTGTATTGTATTTAACCAGATTCGTATCGAATTACTTATTTAATAGGTCTAATAGATCTATTTTTTATAATCTCAATCCACTACTTGTATGTCTGATTGCGAGTATAATTGTTGGGCCTATCTGCAATTAAAGAACAGTTTCATGATTTTGCAGGGTAAAAAAGCGCCAGGCTTTAGATCCCATTAGATTGGGTTGAGAAAATGTATAGAATAACTAGCGATAATTTCGTATTTGAAGTAATACTAAAAATTAAAAGATTGATTATGCGATAATATTTTAAATACTAAAAATTTGGTATTTTAAATAATATCTTTTTATTTAATTATATAATTTAAAATTAAAATAAACAAAATTAAAATAAAAAAGAGATAGGTGAGAGAGAGCAGCGAGAGGAAGAAATAGATTAGTGGAGTTATTTAACATTATGAAGTGTGTTTGTTGAATTGTCTAATATCAAGGATCATGCAACAAAGATCAAGAATTTAACAAATAGATCTTTTTTTTTTCTGTGAACTGTGAATAATAAGTAGTAGAAAACTGGTTTTGAAAGTGTTAAATAAAAAAAAATCTATGTTATAGCCAAATGTATTCATGATACAGTACTGTCTTTGAAATGCTGTAAGTTTTGAATTGTACTCTAACACGTTCTTGTTACAAGAAGTTCTGTTGTTTTAAACTTCCGTGACAAGCAATGAATTTGAAACTTCAACCTTAACCACTTTGCTCTTCAATTTCGGTATTTTCATAAATTTTTAATATCAAAATCGATACAGAATTCATCTTTATTATATGTCTCAATTCGCCAATGGACTTTTCAAATTCCGCACCAAATGATATCACATAAGATATCATGTGTGAGAATTTCACGTCATAAAAAAATGTCTTAATCAAACAATCCTAAAAATCGATTCACAAGGTTGAATTATTCATTCTCGAGAAGAAAAAGAGGCTAATTAGGCAAAGGATTGCATGTAGTCCACAGGAGTTTTGTATAAGGTTTGAGAGCTATTCTTAGAATGCTTGGGAATCAAAAAGGGTGACAAATTCTGTGCTCGAATTTGAAAAAGTTTTGAAATTTAGGGGCTCGAAATCCCTTTTAAAATATATAATAAGGACAACAAACTCAAAAGCAGGTGTGGGGCCCACAAGAGCACAACGATTGCATTGTGTATCATCATCATCATAATTTATTTTTATTGTATGGTAGAGAGAGACTAGAGATCAAACCAAACAACCCCATGAATGTCTATCATTACAATAACATGAAACGAAACAATAAAATAAACCAAGCGCGCATGCACTACCACCTTGGATTCTCAACACCATAACTGTTGAATACACAAGAGTTAATTAGGTTAGTAGGCTTTTGCATAAAGTATGGACTTTCTGCACCACAGCATTTGGAGCTCTCATTGTTGCCCCATCTCTCTCTCTCTCTCTCTCTCTCACACACACACACACACATTAACTAGGGAAAATGATGTGTCCACCAAAAAAATTTGTGAAATTTTATATTCCATGACACATTAATAGTTATTAGATAGTTAGTTTACGTTTGTAAGTAGTGGGACGCTTCTGAGAAAGAACAACAAGCTGATATGTGTCCTCGACACCAAGGATACTTCCAGTATCCTGATGAAGACACGTGTCCTTGGCACTGGGGACACCTCTATCATCCTGATTGAAAACACGTGTCCATCGCACCGAGGACACCTTCATCATCCTGATTAAGACACATGCCCTCGGCTCCGATGACACCTTCAGAATTCTAATGAAGACACGTGTACTCAGCATCGAGGACGCCCCCAGCATTTGAAAGAGGACATGTGTCCTTGTTGTATGAGCTCTCAGAGCGCTGGAACTTTGCCACGTGTACTCGGCATTGTTAGATCCTGAGGTCTGTTTTCAGACATGTCACCTCGGCCACAAGATAAATTATTGACGGTTGCAACCTATTAAAGTCAAAGTTAGGCAACAAATCATTAAGCTTGCTTTCCCAAAGGAGTCAGGATGGAAGAAAAGACATGACCAGCGACCAAAAGGAATTTGACACATGACGCAAAGTACAGAGTTGGGGCCAATGGACAAGAATGCCCCCGCTGGCGCCCAACTATCACAGAGGAGCATTCAATGATCCTTCAGGAGGATGAGACGTGTTTATCACCCAGAGAGCCTTGGTAAAAGGGTATTAAGTGCGTGGGGGTCTGAGCATTTGATGATGATTGACTTCCCAAGCGAGACAGAAGGCGCTCTATGCAAGGACTGTTCACCCCCACCTGCTGCTCCCAGATGGGACAATGGGGATCTCTCACTAGGGGGACCCATTTGTCAGTAATGATGACTTCCTTGAAAGGTATAAGTAGCTCTCACAATATAGAAAAAAATGTACGCAAAATCCATTCCATACAATAAAAACAATATTGACTCCCTTCCCTCTCTCAAAGATTGACTTGACAGTCGAAGAAGATATGCTAAAAAATGCTTCTACGTCTTTCTAACTCTCTGTTTTGAGTGGCAGATTTCTTCAAGACTAGCCAAAATCGTGTGGACAACCAAAAAAATCATTCATTACTACTCCTTAAGACCTTTTTCACTCCCTTTTGCTTCGGGATCCTCGACTTTCAGGTAAACTCTGTATTCATCAAAGGAGAGATCTGTCCCTTTTATTCATTGCGCAAAAATCACCGCGCACAATTTGCTCTCGTCTTTGAAAAAAAACCAAATTTTCGTGAGACTAAGACTATGGTGAACACTCGCTTGAAAGGAATGGGTCCTCAACAAAGAAATAGTGATGCACAAGCTCCTTCCATATCAAGAATGGAGGATCATATCAAAAGCGTCAACAAAGAGCTTTCGATCTATTCATGGGAAAAGACTCGCCAAACTGAACTGACCCTAGGGGGTAATAAAGACAGTCCCTTAGCCCGTCAACTTGTTGATCTCATCAAAGAACGGTTGGAAAATCGGTTACGGCGAGTAGAGAAAAATAACATAAACGCCTTTAACAGGCTGAACGAGTTTGCACTCTCTACCAAAGGATCACGGACCTTACAACTGTCAAAGGGGCCCTTCGTTAGGGAGGTGACACCCAAAGATTTAAGGAACCACCTTAGCGGCAGAGCAAGGTGCTCTAGGAATTCGAAGAGCCCGAGAGCCAAGGGACAAGACCTAGGGGTCCGAGCCAAGAAGATGAAGCCATTGGCATGGAATGACCTCCGCCAGAGACTGTCCGGGCAAGGTGGCACAGATGAGTCCGAGAAGGGATCAACCTTGTCCATGAAGGATGGATGAGCTGAGGGGTATGCTACCCGGTGCCAAGGGGACGAAGAGAGGCACCGTAAAGAGGGGGAGACCTCAAGACCAAGCTAGATTCCATGAGGATAGAAAAGACCACCTTCGATGACAATACGGAGGATGAAGCCATCCTGTCACCCTTCACCAAGAGCATCTTGGAGATGGAGACACTGAAAAAGTTTATGGTGCCCAAGTTCAAGGTTTTTGACGAGTGTTCACACCCAGAGGCTCATCTCCGACAATACAAACAAATGATATCCCTATACCACTCGGATCACACGCTGTTATGCCAGGTATTTTCAATGAGCCTAGGGGATATTGTCATGAAATGGTTGAAGACACTTTTACCCAGTAGTATAGGATCTTGAAAGGAGTTGACCAGACAATTTTTCACTAGGTTCATTACAAGTAGTAAGCGCCCTAAGGATGTCGAATCACTGTTAACCCTCCGGCGGAAGAAAGGTGAGACATTCTGCCAGTATGCCACCCGATACTAAGAAGAAGTAAACGAGGTGGAGGGATACTCAGAGGTTATGACTGCAGCCTCTTTCAAACTTAGCTTCTCCAGGGACACCGACATTTACAGGTCCTTGCTAAAGAAAATGTCAGTGGATACGAGCAAGTTAATAGCCCCAATCAACAAGTAATATAGGGTAGAAGATGAACTGATAGGGAGTAAAGGTAATAGCCTGCCTCAAAGAAAAAGGGAAAAGAGAAAGAAGTAGACCGTCCCAGGAAGGGATTGGTCCCTGCATCAATGAACCCCTTCAAGGGGGTCCACACCACATTCAAGGAGCCTTTCTACAAGTTGTTGCACAAAATCAAGAAGGAGCCCTTCTTTAAGCGGCCCCACAGATCATGGGAGTATCACCTTCTCAAAATCTGACCTAGTAGGTGTGGTACTCCCCCACAAGGATGCGTTAATCAAAACTTTACGAATCGATGAATTTGACATCAAGAGAGCGATGGTGGACTCAAGAAGCTCGTTGGAGGTCATATACTTTGACGTATTGAAACGAATGGGCCTTGGGTCCAAGGATCTGACCATTGTCAAGAAACCCCTTGTCGAATTTAATGGATCATTTTCCCTGCCTATAGGTAAGATTACTCTCCCGGTTATCACAGGACCTGTCACCATCGACACAGAGTTCATAGTGATCGACTCTGACTAGGTTTCATTCGCTTGGAGCAGTGCACTCCACCTA